CCAGAGTCTATTAAACATGCTGAGCACTATCAATTATAAAAGCTATATAAGTTTTTAACTGGTCTTAATGAGTCCTATGAGAATGCAAAAGATCAAATTCTTATGACTCGACCATTACCAAATATAAATTAGGCATATGCTATGATAGTGAATGTAGAGAGTCAAAGGAAGAATGGCAACTGTGGGATCAACACTAGTATTGGTTTTGATGACAATGATGCTACTGCTCTGCTAAGTAGTATAGGGAATAACAATGGTGGTAACACTAGCAGTGGTAACAACAATTACAAAACTAGAAACAACTACAACTATGGAAGGCATGTACTTCAGTATGACTACTGCAAACTCAAAGGTCACACAAAGAAAAATTGCTACAAATTACATAGATATCCAGCAGACTTCAAGTACAAAAAGAAAGGAGGAACACCTAACACTTACGCTAATAATGTTAGTAATGCAGGAAAACAGGTATCCGAAGCACAAGGCTCCTCTCAGCAAGCAACATATGTCTCTACACCACCAGTTCCAGCTCAGTTCTTCACTCCAGAACAGTGCAATCCGATTCTGCAAATGTTGAACAAAAGGAAAGAAGGAGAGCCTATGGCTAATGTAGAACAGATGGGGACATCAGGTATTACTACTGCTCTAATGTCTAGTCTAGTTGACAATAACTAGATAGTAGACACATGAGCAACCAATCATATGGTACATAAGTTATGTTTACTTCACAAGTTCAAAGAACTATCACAAATGAGTAAGAATAAGGTTCATTTACCTACTGGAGAACATGTTGCTATCAATAAGACATGAGAGTCTCATATATTTCAAGATAAAATAATTGGAGAAGTACTATATGTACCTGAATTCAAATACAACTTATTGACAGTGTCAAAGATCACTAAGGAGTTACAGTATTGTGCAATATTTTTTCCTGATTTCTGTTTATTTCAGGAACTCTCAAGTGGGAAGGTGATAGGGATTGGTATAGAAGAGGATGGTCTCTATATTATGAGAAATAGAGGCTACTAAAGTCCACAGTAGGTAGCTGACAACAAGTCTACACTCAATTATTCATCTGTAAATATCATCCCCAGTTTAACTAGTGACAATGAAGGTAGTTCTAAGAATAAGAGTAAGATTGATGATATATCTCTTTGGCATAGGATATTAGGGCATGCTCCTTTAAAAGTCTTGAAAAATATAAATGGCTTGTGTAAGACTCAGCTGAAGGATCACATATGCTCTGTATGACCTATTGCTAAACAAGCAAGACTGCCCTTTCTTCTAAGTACTACTTGTTCTGTTAATCCCTTTGATCTAGTGCATGCTGATGTTTGGGGTCCTTATAGAGTTCCCACTCATGATGGTAAAAGATACTTCTTGACTCTAGTAGATGATTTCTCTAGATACACTTGGATTTTCTTAATGCCTACTAAAGCAGATTCTATTGTAGTGCTAAGGAACTTCCTAATGTTTGTCAAAAATCAGTTTACATGTGGTGTGAAATGTCTTAGAACAGACAATAGTTCAGAATTCTTCAATGATCAAGTGAATAGTTTACTAAAATATTATGGCATTGTACATCAAAGCTCTTGTGTATACATACCACAATAGAATGGTGTTGTTGAAAAGAGACATAGATATATTCTGGACATGGCAAGGGCACTAAGGTTTCGGGCCTTTGTGCCTTTGAGATTTTGGGGAGAGCGTGTGTCCACTGCTGTATATTTGCTTAATATACTGCCCACTATTGTCACGACCCGAAATTCTCACCTTCGGACCGTGATGGCGCCTGACATTTTACTTGCTAGGTAAGCCAACGTTAGAATAATATTATCTATTTTAAAATAATTTTTAAATTTATTAATAATAAAGAATTAAATGCGGAAGTAAAGTCTGAAATGTAGTGAATAATCCATAAAAATAACGGTGTCTAAATATCATCCCAGAATTGGTGTCACAAGTGCACGAGCTTCTAGAATAATACAAATAAAGGTCTGAATAAAATAAAGCTGTCTGAAAATAAACACACAGCTAAAGTAAAGTAGACGGGGACTTCAGAACTGCGGACGCCGTGTAGTTATACCTCAAGTCTCCTCTGGTAGCTGAAATTCGAGCAAGTCTATGGTACACCGCTAGAACCAACTCCGAAATCTGCACAAGAAGTGCAGAGTATAGTATCAGTACAACCGACCCGATATACTGGTAAGTGCCGAACCTAACCTCGACAAAGTAGTGACGAGGGTAAGGAAGGTCACTTACAATAACCTGTATGCAATAATAGTAATAACAACAATAATAGAAATAAATCAGATAACTCATTTTTAACAATTGAAGCCAATTCAGCAGTCATAACCAATTATTATTTCCATTAATTTTTGTTGCAGCGTGCAACCCGCTCACACAACATATTCATTTTCAATACTCCCATATATTTATTTTAATCAAGTATATATAGACTTTTAANTCACACAATAATTATAATTTATATATGAGCAAACAATGGCAATTATCAATTAATTGTGAAAATCGTGAAGAAAATAGGC